CCTGCAGACCGGCACAAGGTGAGGGGAATCTAGACCTGACGTTCCACCCCCTCCCAGGCTTTAGTTCCCCACGTTTCATCCCTTTTGTAGACTTAGAGCCTCTTCCACCTTCCTTGATTTCTCCTGTCTCACAGAGCAAGCTGATTGCAGGGAAGATCATCCCAGCCATAGCCACAAGCACAGCAGCTGTGGTTGGCCTTGTGTGTCTGGAGCTCTACAAGGTGGTGCAGGGACACCGACGGCTTGACTCCTACAAGAATGGTTTCCTCAACTTAGCCCTACCCTTTTTCGGCTTCTCTGAACCCCTTGCCGCACCCCGTCACCAGGTGAGGGCCTGTATCAGGGAAGATAGACTTGTGGGTGGAGTGTTTCTCTGTAGAATTAATTGGCTCTAGTTTGCTTCATAGGCTTTCACTAGGTGAGGGGTTCCGTCATTGTGTACCTACTCATTCTGTGACCCCTTGTTCACTTACTCATGTATATATTGAGTACTTTCTATGTGCTGAGCACTGGTCTGATTCTGCCTCTGTAAGCCCTCAAAACAAATGGGATATTTGAATTGTGCCCTAGGAAATTATTAGTGACTACACAATAATAGTAACCAGTATATTTTTAAAATTATTTTTTAGGCGAGGCAACCCTTGGTTGACCTCACAGATTGCAAGGACCTTTTTGGCTTACAATCCCTTTTATTTTTTATATTTTTATGCCTACAACACCTGGTCTTCCTAGGTGGTCTCCCATCCAAGTACTAACCAGGCTCGACCCTGCTTAGCTTCTGAGATCAGACGGGATCAGACTTGTTCAGGGTGGCATGGCCGTAGACAATAGTAACCAATATTTACTGGGTGCTTACTATGTTAAGTTCTTTTACTTCATTTATTAATTTATTCAAATATTTATTGAGCACTTACTGTGTGCCAGGTACTCTTAGGTGCTACAGTTATATTTATGAAATAAAAGATTTTGGAACCCCCTGTAAAAGAGCAGGATAAGGAGGACTTGAGAGTACCTGGTAGTGAGGGGATGGGTTTGGGATTTTTAAACATGGGATGGTTAGAAAAGGCCTTACTGAAAAGACGACATTTCAGTCCAGACTTGGAAGAGGGGAAGAAACAGGCCATGCAGGCTTCTGTGGGAAGGGCATTTCAGACAGAGGGACCAGCCTCTGCAAGGGTAGGAGTGTGCCTGGCATGTTTGAGGAAGAAGATGCTTCTAGAACAGAGTAACAGGATGAGAAGGTAGGAGGTGAGACGTAGAGAATAGGACTGTAGTGATATAGGCCCTTGTTAGTCATTGTAAGGTTTCAGTGCTTGCTTGGGGCCTGGCAGAAGCCACGAGAGAATTTTGGACAAAAGAGGCTTGTGATCTCACTTTGCATGTCTCTGCATGAGTGGAAGGGGGAGAGTGACGGAGCTGGACCCTCTGGTGGCCCCCATCCCACTGGCCTGTTCCTTGTCCTGCAGTACTATAACCAAGAGTGGACGTTGTGGGATCGCTTTGAGGTACAGGGGCTGCAGCCTAACGGTGAGGAGATGACCCTCAAACAGTTCCTTGACTACTTTAAGGTGAGGCCCCTTCCTCACTCTCACCCCACCTGGGGGCGGAGTGTGCAGGTGACTGGCCTGTCCATCCCCTTGACACTGCCATTCCCTCTTCCTCCTCCTCCAGACAGAGCATAAATTGGAGATCACCATGCTGTCCCAGGGTGTGTCCATGCTTTACTCCTTTTTCATGCCAGCTGCCAAGCTCAAGGAACGATTGGATCAGCCGTGAGTTGAGTGGTGGGGAGTCTCAGCTTGCAGCTATCCCACTCCTGTTCACCGGCCTCACTGCCTTGGCCTCCACCCACCTGCCCTTCCTCTCTGCCTTCTGCCTCTCTGACCCTCTGTGCCTCTGCCCCCAGGATGACAGAGATCGTAAGCCGTGTGTCGAAGCGAAAGCTGGGCCGCCATGTGCGGGCGCTGGTGCTTGAGCTGTGCTGCAACGACGAGAGCGGCGAGGACGTCGAGGTCCCCTACGTACGATACACCATCCGCTGACCCCCAGCCCCTCCTGTAGACTGGCCCCAGGCCCCCTCTCCAAACCCCTTCCAGCCCAGGGCTCCCAGTTGACCTCTGGCAGTGGCCCAGCTAGCCAAGCCTGGTGTTCCCTCTTCATCCCCCTACTTGAACCCCTCTTGCCGCTGCTTCCTACCTTGTTCAGAACCTGAATCCTAATAAAGAGTTATTAACCCAGATGTGGCATGCCCAGCTGGTTCCAGGGAAGAAAGGGACTTCCTGGAGCTGTATGGTTCAGATGGTAACCCAAAGGGCTCAGCCCTACCCCAACTGCCAGTTTCCTGGGCAGAGAAAATGTGGAAATGGCTACCTTCTTCCTCTTTTCCTCCCTGCCTAGGAAGAAGTGGAGGCACCAGTGAGGCCATAGGGAGCAGGTACCTGGGTCCAATTTATATGAGCTGGGTTTCAGTTCTATCTTCTCCATTGCCTAACTCTCTGCCATGTTGATGTTGGGTCAGTGTGGCTTATGTTCTTGGGGCAGATCCCTTTTCGCCTAGCTCAAAGCACTCAGACGCCGCACAAGCCTTTACTATCATGGTTCCCAGTGCCAGGAATGCTTGTAATGCCCTTAGTTCAACTTCCCTGCTGCAGGAGAGACCTCAATGGCTCTGTTGGACTGAGGAATGCCAGTGCCTGTGTATACTTAGTTTTTAAAAATATTTGGCTGAGAGCATCTGTAGAGGAAAAGCCCCTTTCCCACCCCACTCTGCCCGCCTAGGGCCTGATCTGCCTGTCCCAAGGCCTCATACATTTGAGAAGAGAGGTAGCTGTGGAGGCTGAGGGTTGTCGATTGGTCCGAGCAGGCAGTAGGAGCTTCACTTGAGGCCCTACCAGGACTGTACGCTCCATCTGTGGTCTTGGCTGGGCACTCCAGACATTTGAAAGCACCAGTCTGGCCACCTGGTACCTAAGAATTGCACTCATACCTCTATCCCTCACCCAACCACTTAGGAACAGATTCCTTATCCCTTTGCTCAAACCTGGGTATTGGGAATAGCACAACCTGTCCCTGAACCTAGCCTGACATCCATCACAGTGTGTTCCCACATCCTCTGCCTCCTGGGCCAGCTTCAGACCCCAGGTACCATGTATGCCCTTGCCCATCTCCCTCTCATGATTACTTTTTTTTCTTGGGTGACCTCATGCTTTCACACTTCTTTTTACTCCCCACCAGGATACTGGCGACTGAGGTACTTTACCTCTGGCATCTAGTTAGTGGTGATGCTAGCTGTCTAGGTCAAGTGGAGATTTTCCTACCACAAGCACTTTTTCCATATTGCTGTTTTGGAGTACTCCAAACACTCCACACCTCTGTCTACTGTCTCCACTGTTGCAGCATCTGAGGCTGCACAAATTTATTTCTTCTGTCCCCTTTCTCCACTATCCCAGCTCCTTCTTGGATATTCTAGATACTTTGTTCACTGGATCTTCCTCATTACAGCTCCTGATTCTCCAGACGCTTCTGTCCCTTATTTCAGCACCACAGCTCTTGATTCCCCTTGCTACTTTATTTGTACCTGACACATTTCATCAAGAACTCATGAATCCTGCTTGCATCTTATTTCCCCAATACGTGCCATTTTACTTCTCATGTTTGTCTACCTTATAACACCAGCAAGATGGACTAGGGTTCAGTGGGCAGGGGTTGGGTGACTGCACTGAGAGCCCCCTGCACCCAGCAGGTACAAAACACAGGTGGGACAAGGTCGTGTCCTCTTGTTTCTGCCTACAATTATTTGCCATCATGGCATTAAATAAACATTCGTTGAATGCTTACTGTGTTCCAGGCACTATCCTAGGCCTTGCAAACCACAATAAATCAAAAAGATACCTGTCCTGGGTGGGAGTTGGGTGGCTTATGTTCTGCTAGGATGAGACGCAGGATAGACTAAAAGTATATGTTAGAAGTTGATTGGTGCTATTCAAAAGGTCTATAGAGCTAAGTCTGGGGATCTGGGATGATGGCGGTGCAGGTTGGCATTTTTAAATAGGATAGTCAGGAAAGGCTTTATGAAGGTGATATTGAAGGCAAGGACTTGGTAGAAGTGAGGAGATGAGGCATGTGGATATCTGGGGGAAGAGCATTCCAGGCAAAGGTAACAAGTGCAAAGTCCCTGAGGCTGGATTGTGCCTGCTTGTTCATGAACAGCTAGGAGACTAGTATGGCTGGAGCGGAGAGGAAGAAGGGGAGGTCAGAGATGAGGTCAGAGAAGTGATTGACCTGATTGTCTAGCCCGCGGTGGACTTTTGTTTTTGTCAAATGTAGTATTTCCAGTCCCATGGTGGTGTGGTAAGTCGTCACTAGTATAAACCTTACTGAAAAACTTAACTGGTGTGACTAAAGCTGCCATACAGGGAAACCCAGAAGAGACAGGGAAGCTGGCTTTAGACTGGGGTGCACTTTAAAGATGTCCCAGAAGGTCTACTGAAGGCTGCAGCCATTTGAGCTGGGTTGGTGATAAGTGTAGGGGTTTTCCAGGCAGAGAAGGGTGGGGGATTAGGTCGGTCTGGCAGTACTTGATACGCAACAGGCACCCAATGAATAAAACCACAGAGCCGGGGGAACCACAGGCAGGGCTCTGGCGGGCGAAAGTAGTTGAGAGATGGCAGGAAACTCAATTTAGAGTGCATATGTGAAACGGAAAAGAGACCCCTCCCACCTAGCCCAAAGTCCCAAGCATGCGCAGTAATGCACTCGTCCCCCAAATCTGCCTTTCTTCTCAGCCCATGCTCCACCCCGTCAGCATCGCTGAGGGAGATGGGAGGGGTTAAGAGGCGAAAGCCCATTGGGCACTCTTTTGACCAATCACCTTACGGGATATTTGACCTATGGTGAGAAGAGCTCAGAACAAAAAGGAGGTCCCGCCCCCCAAAGCCAATGAAAATTGGGAAGAGGCGTGGTAGGGCAGCGAAGTCACGCCTCTTCAACCCAGCCACGCCCTTCATTCTTGCACTGCCTCACCCCAGGGAGCAAATCCGATTGGCTGGGTGACAACCTCAAAGGGCGGGGCCGCACACGTTCACAGTGGGAATGAGCTAGCGGTGTGAGAGTGGGAGGGTTGGGGGGGAGATCGGCTGGGCGGGGCTAGACTCTCCCCTGCCTAAGGTGATAAAGGCCAATGATTCTCCAGGCTGCCTCTCCTAGAAAAGTCATCTTCTCACGAACCTTTAAAATTTCTGCCTCCCGAGGCAACCTTAAAGGACTAGGGCTGACTGCCTCATCTTTTTCTCCCTTGCAAAAGTCCCGTTTGCCACCATGGGGATGTACCAAGTGAGACCAAGTAGGGGGAGCGAATGGTGACTGGTACGCTGGGCTTACTGGCTGCTGCCCACTTCAGCGCTAGCACACTTCTGTAAGATCGGAACTGAGTACTAAACAACCTCTACACTTCCCCCTGGCGCCATTCCAGGGCTGGCGCCACATTCCCTGGTGGGCACGCAATGGCCGCGCCCCCTCCAGCGGCGGACGGGTCTTTTGGTACGTGCAGTCCGAGGTGAGTCCCCTCCTTAGCACTTCACCCTGTCCAGCGCGTGCGTGCGCATGCGTGGAGCGCGGCGCGCGCGGCGGTTGGGTCGTTGGCTGGTCGGCCCTGGGATCCGCCGCGTCTCCC